TATATATATATATATATATGTATCGACTGACTGCAAAATATTTCATGCGCAGATAGAGCGAACTAATCTGAGTCGTAGAGTTTTCTATCATTTTGTAATTTTTACAATAGTTAAAGAGATATTAATTTTTAAAGCCGAATAAGATGATAAAATTACAGATAATAACATAAAACAATTTTAAGGTCTCTTTAAGAGTTTTTTTTTTAATATTTTAAAGATGTTTCTTAAAAAAAAACCTTTAAAGATGTTTAAAATATCTTAAAGTTGTATTGTGCGTCGATTGTATGTATAGACACTCTGCTCAATAGATAATTAAAAAGAAAATTGAGCAAAATGGTAAAGAACTTGTTGTCAAAGTTTAGCCGTCTGTCTACATATCAGTGTTTCACAGTATTTATTAAACATCGAATGTGTATGTGTGCGTGCGTGCGCACGCGCGCGCGTGTGAGTGTGTGTGTATGTATATAAAACACTGTTCGACAAAAATAGACCTTTTGTACATTGGAACGAAGCAGCTCATTCCCGTAATTTAGAATGCTAAATATGAATCCGATTTCGAAATTGTACCAACACGTCACATATCGTAGTTATAATATAACAAAATATCTAAAAATAGCCTTTTCTTGCAACTTTAACTGTCAATTTCTTAAAATTGTAATGTGATAGAACAATTTAAAACACGGATTCATATTCAACCAAAAAATTACGGGAAATAACTAATCTCGTTTTAGTGTTTTCTTTTGTAACAGTAGTAAAAAAAAACTAACAATAAGATATAATATTCATTTAAAATATCAAAGCCAAAAGAAAAGTATATTATATTACCGAAGATCGGTAATGTTGACGCATGTCTGGTAAAGGAAAGTCAATAACTAAATTTCCTATATTCGTTTTCGGAACAATGTACCATATAGTGCCGAAATGTTCATCCTTGAATGGATGTTCAGGCCATGTTGGAACTTCAATTTCCTTGTTTCGTACTTCACAAAACAGATTCACTACCATATTTTCGAGTTCATCTAAACTCTCTAAATAGAAAATTTATTTGTTAATTCAATATATAGTAAATATTTTTAGATATTGTAATCATAAATCAATTCAATAAATAATCGTCGTACCTTTACCAAGAACAGACAGTGACATAATATTTGCAGAATAATACTTTTCATGAAACTCTAGTAGTTTATTTCGAACATTAATGCCCTTTTGTTTCGGTATTGTGTCTAATGTTTCTCTATTTCCTGCACGAAATTTTGAAAACGGATGATCTGAGCTCGCAGTTGACATCACTAATTGATTAAATCGCTCTGAATCACTTGCTAAATTGTTCTCGTATTCTGAATTTATGGTATTTAGTGCTAGCTCAATTAAGTTCTTCGTAAAAAGAGGTGCCAAGAAAAATTGAGCAAAACGATCTAAACCGCCTTCTAACTTCTCGGTAGCTACATCAAAATAATACATGGTGTGATCTAAACCTGTTATTGCGTTACACACACCACCATTCTGCGACAGAAATTTTTTGAAATCATTCTGTTGAGGGTATTTTTTCGTTCCTAGGAACAACATATGCTCACATAAATGCGCTAATCCAGGTAAATCATCTGGATCGCACATAGAGCCTGTAACACATATTTTATCTCTAAACTTTGAAATTAATAATTTGACAAATATTAATAAAAATTTGTTAGTCCTATTACATTATAAAATACGACTAAATCCTGTAAAAACTATGAACAATATAAAGCAGTTAAGAAAAATGTACATAGACGACAAAAAAAAGTCAGAATATTGACTCGTGGCCTAAAGGCATAGGACAATCGTACAAAATGCATAAGATTCGGATTCGGTTTTCTCTATATGACTGCGGTCGATTTGGGTCTTTCAAACGCTTTCAGTACTTCAATTCTTATTTTACGTCTAACGAACAATAAAGACAAAATGATGTTTACAAGCGTTTAAAGAGCGTGAGCGTCCAAATCAACCGCAGTCTGTATTTGTTATAATTTATAACATATACAAAATGATTTTATAAAAATGTTCTTATAAAAATCGCTAGAAATATCAAGCAAAATAATATATAATTACCGGCATTAATGTCCAATGCAGCAGCACTTTTATCAGTTGTTGGATCGCTTATTAAAAGAACTTTCATTTTATTAGTGAGTACCAAACATCTATGTAATCGGTTGTTATTTTGTTTTATTATAAGATCATATCGCTTTTCCACACGTCCAGCCGACATATTGATTATTGAAGCAATAAATTCAGAAGTTCGATTTCTAAACATGAAGAAAATGCAAATAAAAATTTTAAGAATGCATGAATTAATTATTCTATTATATCGCTATGTAACAATAATGCTAAAAAATATTCTAATATCAGAGCGGAGCTATTCCGTTATTTTCAACTTCTAAATGTAATACAAAATTAACGGTAACAAACAATATCTTTTTGCAGTATTGCTTATACAATCATGGCTACTTCTTAAGACCACAAGTATGACTTTTAAATGTTCAGTATACGCTGCTTAGAAACATAAACAGTATCATGAGAAATGGACGAAATATAGTTCCGCTGTGCTCTGTATGTATTAAGTATGTATATATAAATGTAACAAAATAATATATAAACTCTTATATGGATTATGCAGTTAAGTTTCCATAATTTATTGTTATTAAAATAAAATATTTTTTTTAGTCTCAAGCTAGGTTTTATCTAATTCAGATTTCTTTAATTCAAATCTAGTTTTCCTTCATTTTTAATTTATGTTCTAATTGCACAGGTGTAACATAAAAATATGTTGTATGTTTTGTCTCTCATTTTCTTTTTTCATCATGTTTGAATGTTAAATATACGAATAGGAAAATAACACAAAGTTGAAACAAAGGAAAACTTAACTGTAAATAATTGACTAAAAAAGTCGAATGATAACAACATATTACTAGAAAATAATTTTAGTTGATGGTTGTAATACTTTTCTTTACTTAATATTGTCGATGTATTTATATGTACGTAGCAAATTTAAATTAAAAAATATGAAAATTGTATTGCGTTAAAAAATTGTTTATGCTCGAATATGTAATCATACATAAACATGTAATATAAACATTCACAAACATATACATAATTATACATGGAATATATCCATACATTCCGGTTTATTTTGTAAAATTACTGTTTAATATTTTGGTAATATTACGGGATTCGGACTATGGTGTGGCCAGTGCCATCGATCGACCTCAGTTTTTCAAAAATTAAAGTTTTTTTATTTCCGAGCTCGTTTTACTCGACTTGACACGACAAGAGCCAGAAGAGAAGTGTCGCTCACCTCTCTCAATTTTTCACCTCATACGGGGAGAAAATAATTTATTTCTCGACTGTTCCAAAATGTTTCGAATTCTCGGTTTAAAATTACACGCGATCTAGCAGGTTAGTTTTTCCGCGAGATGCAGCGATTGCATCTCATTCCCTAGCCGGTTACATCATGTGTGATTATGCCCTCGACTACTTCGTCGGATTATTAGGCATATGCTTCGATAAAT